TGTATCAGGTAGAACCCTGAGATCTCAGGAACTATAAGAGATTAAACATGAAGATTCTTGAGGTCCATACGCAGCGCTATTATTTACTCAACATGCATTCTCCGACAATAGGTGGCGCCAACCAGCCAACCCAATCAGCGATTTTACTCTTCACTTTAATTTGTACCACCTACTTGAGAAGACGACTTTTCATATTAACAAATAAACCACTTTAACGTGCAGGAAAACTTCCTGTTTTATTTTAAAGAAAAGTAGCTCAATATTAGACCCAAAGTCGAGTAAACCAATAATAAAGAAACAACAATGCAGTAAATCGTAACTCGTTAATATCTGGGGAAATACTTCCTAGAGGAGGAGAATCATCGATGTTTTTGGCGAAAATATCGATGTTTTTAAAATATAAAAAAATATCAGGTGTTTAGTAGTGTATTTGTCCTTTATTTTAATTTGTAGTGTTTAAAAATTAAAAGTCACATTTTCAACAAAAAATATCCATTTTATTAATCACTTATTAAATAAAAAAGAAAACAAAAAACAAATTAAAATAAAACTGATCATGATATTCATGTTCCACTTCTTTGGTGTATTGTCCTGTCCTTAGTAAATAAAAACTAAAAACAAAAACAAATTTAATATGAATGTTTCAATATATACATGGTCCTAGGAAAACAATAGGTCTTCAGGATATTGTGCTATCCCTACTACACTTTTTGCTTATTTTACTATCCTTACTAGTAAGTAGGGATAGTAATCCCTAATAGGGGAGTGCGACTAATAGCCGAGTGCGACGCTCACTTATAAGTTGTCCGTCTTTAATGAAAACTCTTTCAGATTCGAACGAAGATGCGGGAACTCGGAAGTATTTTTTAGCTAACGTTTTAAGCGTGTCGCCATCTTTAGTAATCTAAAATATAATTAATACAATAAATTGAAAAAATTATGTCATTGCATAATTTCTTACCTGTCAGTACGCAATTGGGTCACATTCTTGCGGCTGGTTCTCCTTTTCAAAATGATGTTTCATCAGGATAATGGCATCTGCCCAGGAAGGGTGCACCGTGTTTTGGCTTTTGACTTGTAGAAATGAAAATCGGCTTGGTTCCTGTGTTGGTGGTGTTGGCGGATGTAGTGGGTTTGCAGGTTGTTTTGTAAACAGTTCATGCTGCACAGCTTTGGCACCTTCTTCCGCACTAAAGGAAATCATATATAGTATGGTAGCATTTGTGTTATTGTACGCGTTTCATAGCTTGCGAACCTCTTGGTAAGACTAGCCTTGATGGTCGTCAATATGTTTTTGCCTTTTCCTGTGTTGACTTTAATATTGCTTATTTTATGATACAGTTCGCATATGACAGGGATAATTATGGACGCTGATACTTTTGTGTAGCAACTAGGGTATATCATTCAAATATCCACTTCTGCTGTAATAAATTCATTTGTCTTCAGTATGCGCTTAATCATTTCGTATCCGCTGTTCCATCGAGTTGGCATTTCTTGCAGAAGAGAAAGCGGATTGTCCCCCTGGGCTTCCTTAAATTTCGAATATGCGATCTGGCTTCTTTTAAGAAACCGTAGAAATTGGACAATTTTAAAGATTAAAAAATAAAAGTGTATTTTCGTTTTAAATGTATTTATTATAAAAAAAATTAGAAATTATTATTATTTAAATTAAAACTAATTATAATATTTATTTTATGTTATTAAAGAATCTATATTTAAACTATTTATATTGTAATGAAGAAACATTATTTTATGTACCATGTCTTTAGTGGTATCAATTTTTGACTGTTTTTCGCAAATTAAATTTTTGGCAACAGAAAATGCCCTTTTCGATGCAGCACTGCTCGCGGGAGCTGCAAGTATCTTGCAAACGGAAAACGTTCTTTATTTATTTACCACCACTGCACACTGGTCCCAATGCCCAAAATTTTTGCATAAACTAGAAAAATGAAGCTACAGACTTGAAACTTGGCACACTATATAGTTATTATATATGCAAGGTCCGGACAAAATTTCGTGTCGATCGGGCCACGCCTTCTTTTCCGCCCCATAGTAACCAATGCACTCTAGTACAAAAATGTACAAAACATCCATGAAAATTGGGCTAATATATCCAATAAATTGTGAATATATATAACATATTTTTACTAAATATCCGCCACCCCCAAATCCCCTCCTCCCCCTTCCAAACTAAATAATGCATCTTGAACAATTATAATTTATTTAATTACATTTTTAATCATTTTCAACATCTAAATCAAAAGAATAGTTGTGGAAACATTCAAATGTATCCAAGTCATCTTCATCATCATTATCTATAGTAGGGTAACTGTTTAGGAAATCGACATTTGGCGGTGTTAAGAGATCAATAACTTCTTTTGGGTAACTGCTGTGTTTTTTGTTTTGATGTGCTCTTTCCTTGATGTGGATACTGGAAACCATCGGATCTGATGAATCAAGTGCTCTACAAAAAACGTCAGTCATGGTGTTTAAGCGACTATTTTGTCTTGCATGCGATCGTCTATCATTTTTATAAATTTTATTCCGAGCTTCGGATGCATTTTCGCCTAGGCAGCCAAGTGGAAGGGACGATGCTGCAACGATCTGGGCCCCATGAGCTAGTACTTTATGTACAGTAGCTGACATTGGGTACCAGGGATATTTTTCTATATACAAAAATGCTGTTTTTGTGCAGAAATTTTTAAATTTTGAAGTATCTATTTAAAAGTTATTTGAAATTGTTATTAAAATGAAATAGAAATTTTTCAAAATCTCCTGGTCGAATCCAAGAGCATTTGCGAATTTTTCGGTATGGAAAAATGCTCTCCTCGCTGTGTTTCCGTCGTTGGTACTGCCGCTTCCATTTGCTTTGGGCTTATCGACATGGAGACCAAGCTCCTCCCATAATTTGTGCTGAATTTTTTTTTTTCGGGCAGCCACTTTTTCTTTGTCTTGAGGGCCACGTACTTGCCACTTGTCTATTCCAAATCTATATGACACTTTTAAAACAAATTCGAAAAAACGAATCCACGCATGTAAAGGACTTACTCCATACTCGAGGACTTGGGAGTTCTTCGGCGTAAATTTGTCCGATTTAACATTAGCGAAAGTCATGAATTCCAGGGGCTTCGCTCCACAGATTGGGCAAGACTGGTTGGAATTGGTTTCTGTCAAAATATTAAGTACTTTTCCATCAATTAATGTCATTTTCAGTTCAAAATTGATAGGGAAAACGCTGTTGTTTTCATCTGTGAAACCAAACGGCACTAAATTCTTAATTTCCGAGTCCAGTCGATTTTTTTCTGCTCTGATATGACCTTGTGTTTCTTTTATGAATTCAATTTTTAGAGGCCTGCAAAATCGAACAGACTGCGGGGATCGGTTCATCCAAATAACTCTACCTATCGAATCCACTAACTTAAGCGGAATTAGTGTTGTCACAAATAGAGACTGATCGAATGTGTCTGAAGCTTCCAATTCGAAATTTTGCTTGTAAAGGCTTTGCCCAGTTGAACCGTCAAATCCGTAACTGGCAATTAATGTCAAACCGGAAATATCTTTGTAAACATTGAACACGTCTTTTTGTAACAGCATAATACGCTCCGCTGTGTGGTTTAACAAGTTCTGTAATGAGACAGACGCGACAGATTCTGTAATACATAGACCTTCAGGTCTGCATTTATCTTTTTGCACCTATAATTTGCCTGTAGCTTGGGTAAATATCACAATTTCTCTTTTACTTTCCAGTCTAATGCTCATATACTGTTTTTTGGTAAAGCCATTTTCCATCAAAAAATCTAAAGCTTCTTCTGGAGTTAATGGTACCGGCTCAGCATTCGTTGTTGCATCCTCCACGGGCTTCAAGCACGCTTTCTTAGCAGCGATAACAGTTGCATGAGCAAGGAGATTGACATCATTATCATTTTCTGCTGAAACTTCGCTAGCTAATTTATGCTTTAATCGAAAACGCCCTTCATCATAGCTTAATCGTGGCCGTCCTCCACTATTGGATTCTTTAATATAGTCTGATGGTTGAAATTTCGCTAAAAAACGTGTCGCAAGAAAACGTTCTTTCTGGGCCTTATATCTTGAAACTACCCGAGAGCATTTTTTTATTCCAGCTTCAACATAAGTAACAAAGTTGCTAATCCTCTTCTTCAAAGGATCCTCTATGTTTTGTTTCAATTTTCCCATGCGATTCTGGAGTACAAAATTATAAAGCCTTTCGGTATCGCGTCCATGTGCCAGCCAATACTCTAGCATTTCTGCATAACCTAAGTCTATGTTGTCTAACAAAAAGTGTTTTTTGTAAAATGGAGCAAAAACGAGCAAAAAGGTTTATGTCATCGTATTGTTGATAAATTCAAGAACAAAACTGCGTTAATAGTTTTTGTAAGCCGGCATAAGAAAACCTACTTTTCTTCCACGAAACACGAACAATGCTAGGTTAAAATTGTTAAATATAGCACTTTACAAAAGCACATATACACACAGACACATCACTTTAAACAAATATTGAACTAAACACATAAATTTAACATACCTCCACTAATATTTTCCATTTTACTTTTCGTTAATCAGTTAAGTAGAACCTCCGCAATCTTGTATTAAAATGTGCTATTATTTAGCTCGCCAAAAAGCCAACGTTTTCGATAAACGAACAGCTGACTTTCAGGGCTTCAGAAATTCGCAGGGCTGCAATTTCACCAACGAAATTGCGATTTTTATATGCAACGTTTAATATTCTATTAGAATAAAATGTTTCTTTTTTCCTAACTTAAAAAAAAAAAATGGGTTTTTGCAAAAATTTTGGGCATTGGGACCAGTGTGCACTGCAAAACATCAAAATCTTCATTATACGCTTTATTAACATTTTTACATGTTTGAAGCTCATCCTGAATATACGATAAAATGTTAGGGCTTTGAATAGGTTCTGAATAATCTGCAAATATGTTTTCGATGTCTTGTGTAGGTTGAATTAATTTTTCAATGTCATCATTTTGGCTATTTATATATTTATTTATTAATTATCATTTCTTCAACGTCTTTAAAAATTTGTTCCTTTTCTAATTCTGAGAATTTTGCTAATTTATTGGTGGGTGTAAACATAAATAGGGCAATGTTGTGATTTTAAATTTTCTATAACTATTGAATCTGTGTACTCTAAAAGCGTTAGTTTGCATTATTTTCACTATTTCAATATCGTTTTCATTTGGTGAGCATATATTTTTAAACTTATTTATATGTGGAACCGTCAAGTGCAATGTTGGATAATTGCTACCCTGCAGCATTTTAGAGCAACATTCAAAAGGTGCGAGAAGGTTGACGATTCCGCTAATGTTATTTAAATTATTATCTGTAATTTCATTTTTATCTACCAAAATCTGCGAAATTTCCATCCAATTTAGCTCAGCCGACTTAAAGAGGTTAAATACGCTATTCCAACGAGTTGGACAGTAGCTTTTTAGGATGCTTGTTAAGTTCCAGTTGTCAAGATTTTTTAAAATTTTTAACAAGCTTGCTGCAGCGATTAACCTGATCCAGCAGTTCTGGTACTTCATTTACAAGTTTGCCAATCACATTATGGAGCAAGTGATTGGCACAGTGTATTGTGCTCAGTCCGTTGAATGCTGCTTTCATGCTAGCTCCGCGGTCGGTAACAATTATTGGATCGTCCATCATCAAATCACACCCAAAGTCACGTAACATTCGCGCGATTTTGTTTTTATTTCATTACCTAAGAAATTTTGATATTTTATAATATACGTATATATTTATATATATCATATTATTTATTCCATGAACATTTTATACTCCTTACCGGTACAGGAGGCTCCATCCATTGATTTCACTGCTAGCAGTCGGTTTTTAAGAGTGCCTTCTTTGACATAATGCATAGTCAGTGAAATATAAGATTTCATAAAGAAATCGTCCGTCCAGATATCCAAAGTTATGCTCATTAATTTCGCATTTTACTTCATTGAAATGAAAATCATAGAGCGCACCGATGTTTCGCGATATAGTTGTGGGATGCGGCAATAAAGAGTCAATATTGACGTTTTCCCCCAGTTTCTCATCGACAGAAATAAAAAACTGTGCCAAGTTTTTTAACCCAGAGTCCGAAATTAAATTAAACGGTCGACCATCCTGATTTGTTGTGTCCAGCGTCTGATTGCAAATAATTTTGTTTTATTAATTTTGTACAAAATTTATACTACAAATGAACATGAAATACATACATATATTTAACAATCCCTGTTTTTGCCTGGGTCTCTGGCACTAAATGACATCAAACATACAAAAGACAATCACAAACATATAAAACAACACATACTACTTTGTTACAAAACATATATGTATATTATGACAAAAACTTACATTATATTGTGAGTTCATTGCACGAGCGTCGTTTTCCTTATAATCCATGTTTATGCACTAATTAAAAAATACTGCACAGTTGTACACAGTCAATACACAAGCTGTACAGCGTAGTACTCACTCGAAATGAGTACACTGAAAATGATGTGCAATCTTCTTCTGACCTATAGAGTATACTGTACAGTAAAGAATGAGTGCAGCGTTTTTTATACTATACAGTACTGTCATGCAGAAGTCTAACTCATTTTGGGATGAAAGCACTTCGTCGCGCAGGTCTGACTACTAGGTAACCTGCAGCGGGAGTCCTTTTCCTTCATCAGCTCTTTAAATCCGTCGTCCTCAACACAAGAAAAAGGTTGAACATCGACAGCAATCATGTTCATGACCTTACTGTCTAGGAGATGTTTTCGTTCCGAGTCATTTTCATAAAAGGTAACCGATTTTCCAACAAACTTTTCTGTTATATTTGTTTTCTTTGCAGTTCCCCCAACTTTAAGCCGATCAGAATTAACGTGCTTTAAGTGGTCCATTAGATTCGTTAGATTAGAGGCGTTTCCACACGCCTTTATTGGCTTACCAAAGTAATTGCATATCCCATGCATTTTTTCCCTTTTTCTTTTAAAATGATCCCAAGATATCGAAACATAACGCCTTCTCGTCTTTTGATCCTCATCAGGCTTTGGCTGTTCGCTTCCTGTTCCTATAAGAAATAAACTGTATTAATGCGTATTCAATGCAAAAGCAAAAATGCATACGAATGTGCGTGTGCTTTTCGGTAGCAATGCGTATAGATATGCATTTCTGCAGAAATTCATATACAATGCTTTTCTGGAGAATTGCATATATGTATGTACATAAAAATATACGTAAGATAAATTCGGATATTTAGTATTTAATTTTCAAAAACCTGTTTACACCACCAACAAGTTTACCTAAAATAACAATATTCTGTTAATAATTTATAATGAGATTAAATTATATACATACTATGTACTTACAATTCGACTGTCTTCCTCTATGTGCTTTAGAGATGGAAAAACAGCGATGTTGCTTCCCACTAAGCATCAATGTGGCCGATGTTTCGAAAACATCGATGTCATTGATGTTTCTCCACCTGTAATACTCCCCCCTTTGGCCATTTCCGGTCACATCTGGCGCCCGAAAAGCTTCTCTGCTATGAGGAAACCCCTATCACTACATTTTTGTCACTTTTATTTATTTCTTTGTGCGTGAAAAAATTATTCTTTGTACTTGAATGAAACGCAAATGAGAAAACTCGAAGCGGTGAATGTCGATGGGGCATACCCATGACACTGTGAGATAACCGCTGCGGCAATTAACCCTCTAGTGCCCAAATTTTCTATTCCAAAAAAAAATTATTTTTCGATTCAGTATGTATCAAAAGTGAATGTTTGTTTTAAAAAAAAATTTATTTTTGCTCGGATCGAGTTTTATATGACTATAACCTTGGACCGCCTAGAGGCGGCTTTGGGAAGCTAGGCCAACAAAAAATTAGGTAATAAATTCTTTTGATCACATGTTTTCTTATAAATGATATTAAGATGAGCACCAAAAACAAATAAATTAACAATTACCCAGGAAGGGTGCACCTTGTTTTGGCTTTTGACTTGTAGAAATAAAAATCGGCTTGGTTCCTGTGTTGGTGGTGTTGGCGGATGTAGTGGGTTTGCAGGTAGTTTTGTAAACAGTTCATGCTGCACAGCTTTGGCACATTCTTCCGCACTAAAGGAAATCATAAATCCGTTTTTTTAAAGCGGGGATCTAGTATGGTAGCATTTGTGGTATTGTACGCGTTTCATAGCTTGCGAGCCTCTTGGTAAGACTAGCCTTGATGGTCGTCAATATGTTTTTAATATTGCTTATTTTATGATACAGTTCGCATATGACAGGGATAATTATGGACGCTGATACTTTTGTGTTTGTAGACACAGAAAGCGTCGCCTCTTCGAAGGGGATAGCAACTAGGGTATATCATTCAAATATCCACTTCTGCTGTAATAAATTCATTTGTCTTCAGTATGCGCTTAATCATTTCGTATCCGCTGTTTCATCGAGTTGGCATTTCTTGCAGAATAGAAAGCGGATTGTCCCCCTGGGCTTCCTTAAATTTCGAATATGCGATCTGGCTTCTTTTAAGAAACCGTAGAAATTGGACAATTTTAAAGATTAAAAAATAAATGTGTATTTTCGTTTTAAATGTATTTATTATAAAAAAAAAATTAAGAAAATATTATTATTTTTTGCTTGTATTCTTTCGGCCTTATAGTAAGACTTTACGCGCAATTTTTAAATAGAGATGGAAGCTTTATGTGAGTGATGATATCACCGTATATCAAGAAAAACAATCGATACGCTGTGGCTAAAAAAGTTCTCTGATCTGGCAAATACTATGATACGTCTTAGATTCCCACCTTCTGGAATCAAAACAAATTCCTAAAAAGCCAGAATTCCCGCTTCCCGCAATTCATGAATTCTTCCCGCGGTTAGCCTTCAAAAAAAGTCAGTTTTGACGGAAAAAGAGCCAAATTGGCAGCAGTGGTCGTAGCAAATATATTTGAGTCTTCAGATTGTCCTCTCGAAGACCTTTGTTTTAGACTTGACGATATGTATGGCTGTATGGCTGAGAAGTCTGTGGAGCGTTACTTCAGCTTTTTGTATCGCTTACCGTTAAATATATTAGAAATATTTTTTTTGCTCCCCTAAAGTTTTTGCTCTTCTGTAAAGTTTTTGTCTAAAACAAAAGCCATCGCTTCATTTGGACTAACAGCTTCTGGATCTTAAACTGGTGACCTAGTTGCTTTGAGCATATATTTCGCGTTTTCGGGGCATATCGAAAGAAGCTTTAATACAACGGAAAGGTCAAATTGTTTCTGTTATCTGGCAACCAAGCTTGCTGCTAGTACTAGCAACCTTAGATTGCTTTCCTTAGATTTTGCAATTTTTGCAGCTAGCATCCTGAGAAATCTAGTTCCTTCGCACTGAATGGCAGTGTCGGCCAACCCCGTTGCCTCTAGCTCTCATGTATATTAATAATTAATCCAGCCAATCTCTATGCCTGCGCTCTCTTGGTTTTACTTTCTATAATATTCCTTAGCTTTTGAATAAAAATTCAATACAACATGGGCAACATTTTTTTGATGGACTCGGCTGAAATGACATTTGACATTTACGAACACAAAATACAAACCACACTGATAATTGCTTAATTTTTCACTTTTCACGATTTTAAATCTGCTGTCAAATCCTAATATTGCACGTGCTTTTTGAGATTAACAACTGTTTTTATCAGCTGATTTCTTTGGAGTGGTGCCATACCTCAATGCAATTCAGTTAAAATTATTTAATTTTTTGTCTTTCCAAAAATTGTTTATGGCCTGAAAAAGTGGTAACATTTTCTTCAGAGCGACGGTATCTATTATCTGATAAATTTCTATATGACCCTATAAGTGATGACCTCTTTTTTTTTTTTAACAGTTTATACATATATTTATATTTTGGTAGTCTGAAGTTGGCATCTTGTTGGGAACGCGTTATCGAACAAAACGGCGCATATTTGACTTGAATCGCATTATTGTAATCAACTTTATGAACAATTGAAAATTCAATAAAAATAAAGACTTTTGACAACCTAATATATATATATATTCAGAATTACCTATGTGCCAGCTTGAGTAGGTTTTAAATATAGAAGATAACAAAGCGTGAGTATAAAGGTTAAACAATATTTCTATTCAGTTACAGTTTAAAATCACAGCAGACTTCGAGGGTGTTAAATATATCTTAATGGAAAATCAAATGGGTGGTATCTTTTAAGTCTTCTTCTTGTTGGTCTCCAAATTAGTCTCTTCGCCAGGGAGTTAAGATGAGAGCCAAGGCGTCTGAAGTAGTTTTCAGCATGCGTTCTACAAACATCGCCTATTTTTGGGATTTTGAGATCTCTTTCTAACTCTCTGGTTCTCATGAACCATAGGGCATTACAAGTCGATCTGACAATCTTGCATTGCGCTACACGTATTTTGTTTAGGTTCGACCTAGACGGTATGCCGAAGGCCTGTAGTGCATACTTACAGATTGGACTGAGAATCGATTTATAAATTCGAACTTTGTTGGACAAAGAAATCTTATTTCTTGCCGTAAGAAGCCAGGACATACATGCTGCCTTTGAACATTGACTGCTTTACCATTGATGTGTACCTCTGGAAGGTGAGTCCCCTATCCAAAATCACACCAAGGTACTTGAAGTGATGACCTCAATGAGGCTTTCTGATCTTTAGGCGAATCTTACTTAAAAAACTACTACGGGTTTTATACCCGTTTAATAAATTTATGTAATAGAACATCCGAAATACTGTAAAACCGCATTTAACCCTTTCATGCCCAAATTAAACTGGGAACACATAGAAAATATTTAACGCCATAAATGATTAATAGGAGCCCCAATTAGCGTTCATTTTGATTTTCGATACTCTAAGTCCTTTGGTATGTCCTTACTGCAATGTTGCCTATAGGTAACATTTGTCCATCTATATATGTAAATATGAGTAATATTACCTTTAAAAGCACAAACAATTATGAGATTTTTGTTAACAATCTTTATTTTTCTGTGTTAGTATTAGTATGATACAGTAAAAAACAATTTTTATTTGGGTTTGAGCACAAATGGACATTATATTTCGAACATTTTGACCTGGGAAAGCCTTAGTACACATTCTACATCTACCTTTTAATCCCCACTGAACCAAGTGACCAATTTGGTCGTATCTTATTGCCTTTTCAGGAGCCATAATATAAGACCTCTTTGGAAATAAAGATTTTGGTGATTCAATCCCTTTGGAAGTAGCTGGAGAACTTTGATCTACAAGATCGGTTGATGAGCTTGGAGAGTTAAAATTTAGTAAATCAAATGCAGGCCGACCCCTTTTTCGGGATCTAACCACATTAGCATTAAGTAGCTCCATGGCAATATCTAGTTGAAAACTTAAAAGTGGCATATGTTTTGTTCTTTCAAATGATTGCTTATGTTCTCGT